TTTATCTCTGTAGTCTTCCTCCCCGAAATTCATGTGCAGAGAAGAGATAATATAGCATGTTTGTCTTCACTTACAAGGCTGGCCCTTGTGTCATCCAGAAACTTGAATTTTGGGAGAGCTCCCATCATCCTAATTGATAATAGTGACTCACCGTGCCTAAACAGTACAATGTGATTTATGCTTAACACCTGTTTTCCTTCCAGAAGTTTGGAATTTTGGTATGTGCCAGATAGAGGGTACCTATATGACCAGTTCCCAGTAAAAACCTTTGCTACTTGGTCTATAATGGCCTTCCTGGTGCCCAGCATTTCACACCTGTTGTCATAACTTACTGTTGGGGGAATTCAGCACATTCTGTATAACTCCATGGGGCTAAAACTCTTGGAAGCTTGCACCTGGTTTCCTCCAGATTTCACCCGATGCACCCCACCCTTTGCTGATATTGGTTTATATCCTTTTGTTGTAATAAAACATAGCTGGAAGTATGACGTTCTGCTTAGTTCTATGAGTCCTCTTAGTGAATCATCAAATACGGGAGTAGTTTTGGGAACCCATGACACAACCGATAAGACCAGTCTAATCATGGCGAAAACATCAGGCAAATCTCAGTTGAAGGGTCTTTTACAAAATACCTAACTAGTACTCCTCAAAACTGCCAAGGTCATCAAAACAGAGAAAGTCTGAGAAAATGTCAAGAGGAAACTAATGAGGCATGACAACTAATTGTAAGGTGGTATCCTGAAACAACGAAGAAAAGAATATTAGGTAAAAACTAAAGAAATCTGAATACAGTATAAATATTAATAATAATGTATTGATATTGGTTTATAAATTGTGACAAATGTATCATACTAATGTAAGATATTAACAATCCAGGAGACTATGGGTGGAGCATTTGGGGACTCCCTGTACTATCTTCAAATCTTTTCTATAAATCCAAAACTATCCTAAAATAAAAAAGACTCTTTAAAAAATACTTGAGCATCTATTATGTACAAAGTACTGTGCTAAGCATCAGAAAACTAGATCTATATAATTACTTCAGGTAAAGGCATTATCAATCATTAGTTATTTTGTTCCATACCTGCTCATTTAGTTGTATGCTAGCAGAAAGGCCAAATTAAGATATTTAGTTTTATTTATTTAACTTGACTGCACATTTATATCTTATTATTCTAGATGATGACTTCCTAGAAGGTAGAATAAAATTAGAATTATCAACTTACTGAGCATGTCCTAGCTATTTTTACAATCATAAAATAAACAAACAAACTTACACTGAAATAATAATTTGACAGAAAGTAGAGTCAGTAATACCTATCTGTTTCAATATATGACTAAAGATCACGATGTTCTTTTACTCTATTGATTGTCTTCTTTACTAAACGACTATTTTGTGACTTTCTATGTTTAATAAAACCATAAGAAACGTATTATAAACTCAAAATTGTCACATTTTCATTACTGCAGCTTTTCATTTCAATAACCATTAATTTTCTCCTTGAGGAAGAGAAGAATGAATGGGGAATAATTCTCCAATATTTCCACTGCATAGATAATCAAATATATATTGGGAGTGTGATTTGTATAAGATTTTAAGATGATGAATCAAGAGATGAAATATTAAATGGGCTCCTTTAAAAACTGTAAAAATTTCAAAATGACCCCTATATGCAGATCCATGAAAATGAAACTTAGTGCCTTTGTGGAAGATATGTCTTTGCTAGATAAAACCAAATAAGCAGGTCTTCAATACAACTTATTGGCTTCTATTATCCCCAGTGTCTAAATCATACCTTTTTAATAATATAAGTCCCTTAATTCATTTAGCTCACTGAAAATAATGTAACAGAATTATTGTAGATGACTCAGTGATTTATTACAAACCATGATATATGGTCAATTATTTTAAATTTTCAAGTACAATACTCCACAGACACATAAGGCAAAACTCCCTCTTTTCACAACAGCGTCCTCTGGCCTTAAAGAGACATCTTCTTTTATTCATATTAAATAGGCCAAAAGGTAAGAAATGCAAATACAGTAGAATGAAATGCTGTTTAAATAGAATTATTTAGAAATACTAAGAAATACTAAGCAACTATACTAATGGTAGCTTTAGTTTCCCTCAATTCAGTGAAAAAAATGTTTTGCTCTAGGATTAAATGTTTTATTAATTTTCTCAAAATGCTGATATATTGGCAATTTCCTAATTACACTAATAACTTAGATAAACTAGATGGACCAAATGAAGTTGCAAAACAAATTAGAAAAAGTTTTAACTGCATTAAAATAAAAATACCACATAATAAAACTTACAGTATACAGCTAATGCAGTAAAGGAAATTTATAGCATTAAATGATAAGGTAAGAAAAAAATCTCAAATCAATAATAGAAGTTTCTATCATAAAAATATTATAAAAGAAGGACAAATAAATTCAAAGCAAAGGAAGTAAAGAGAAGAAATATATGTAAATAAATACATATTTATATATAAACAAATTTTGAAAACAGTAAAACAATTTTAAAAACAATAAAAACAACTGAAAAAGTTGTTCCCTTGAAAATATCAATAAACTTAACAAACCTCTAAGCAAGACTGAAAAAAAAGGAGAGACGCCATCATTATCAGGATTGAAAAGAGGTTATCATTATAGACCCAATAGACATTAAAATAACAACAAATAAGGAATACTATGAACAATGTTACACATGTAACTTTGACAACTTGGATAATTCTTCAAAAACAACATCAAAATTTGCCCAATATGAAGTAGATAACCTGGATTGTCCTGTAATTATTAGATAAACTGCATTCATAGTTAAATGCCTTTCAACAAAGAAATCTCCAGGCTCAGGTAGTTTCACTATGAAACATTTAAGTAAAAAAATGTAATCCTCGGCCAGGTGCGGAGGCTCATGCCTGTAATCCCAGCACTTTGGGAGGCCGAGGCAGGTGGATCACGAGGTCAGGAGATCGAGACCATCGTTGCCAACATGCTGAAACCCCATCTCTACTAAAAATACAAAAAAAAAAATTAGCTGGATGTGGTGGTGTGCGCTTGTAGTCCCAGCTACTCAGGAGGCTGAGGTAGGAGAATCACTTGAACCTGGGAGGCAGAGGTTGCAGTGAGCCGAGATTGTGCCACTGCACTCCAGTCTGGCAACAGAGTGAGACTCCATCTCAATTTAAAAAAAAAAAAGTTATCCTCATTATTTTCCAGAAAACACAAAAAAAGACAACTAACTCATTTAGTTATATTCTCAGAGTATTATATACTCTATTATATACTCTATATTATATAGAGAGAGTATAATACTCTATATACTCAGAGTATTATATACTCTGGTACCAAAATCAGACAAAGATATCACAAAGAGACAATTTCAGACTAATATTCTTCATCAACAGACGCATAAAAAAATCCTCAAAAATGATTAGCAAATAGTATCTAGCAATACACATAATAATATAGCATAACAAAGTGTAGTTTATGGTGGGAATGCAAGACTGGCTCAATATTTGATAGTGAATTATATTAACATTGAAAACACATGATCATATCAACTCATACAGAAAAAGCATTCTACAAAATTCAACATCCATTCATGAGAATATTATCAGCAAACTAGAAATGAAAGAAAATGTCCTCAGCCTGAAAAAGAGCATACAACTAACATTATATTCAATGGTGAATGCATGCTTTCCTGCTAATATCAGGAAAAAGACAAGGATTTCTGCTCTCAACATTTTCATTCAGCATTATACTATAATGAAGAATTGGAACCTAAAATTTAATAAAACATTAGCATTTAGCAACAGCATTAAAAAGAATAGGAATAAATCTGACAAAAGACATCAAGAATGTATACTCTTAATAACACAAGATACAAAGTCAAAACAAAAATAGTGTTTTTAAACATTAGCAATGAATAATTGTAAGTCAAAAACGTTTTAAATAACAAGAACTCCTCCCAAAAGAAAAAATGCTTGGTATAAATCTAACTAAACATGCACAGGTTCTGAATGCTGGAAACTGCAAAATGCTGATGAAAGAAATCAAAGACTTAAATAAAAAGACATAAAAAGAAAGACAATGTTCACATATTACGAGAGTCAACATAGTAAAGATTTCAACTCTCCCTAGGTTTATCTATAACTTCAATATAATTGCAATCAAAATCCCAACATGATGTTTTATAAATATAAACAGACTGATTTTAAGTTCTAAATGGAAAGTCAAAAACTTAAAATAGCTAAACCATTTTGAAAAGAGTAATAAAGTCACAGGAAAAAAGGGGTACTAACAAAAGCACAGACAAAAAGATGAACTGTACAGAAGAGAGTCCAGAAATACACCCACACATTTTCAGACAACTGATTTTTGACAAAGCTGCAAATGCATTTCAATGAAGGAAGGACATTGTTTTCAACAACTGGTGCTGAAACAATTGAGCATCTCTATGTAAAATAATAAACCCCTTAAGCCTCACAACTTATTAATATTAATTTTAAATGAATCTTAATTCTCAACGTAAAACTTAAAACTATAAAATTTTTTGAAAAAACCATAGGAGAAAATCTTCATAACCTAGCATGAGACAGAGTTCTTAGATATAACAACAAAAGCATAATCTATTAAAACGTTTTTTGAGAAATAGGACATCATAAAAACTAAACAGGTTGGCTCTACAGGAAAAATAATTAAGGGAATAAAAAGAAAAGCTACAGACTGAGAGAAAATATTTACAAATCACATATCCATTGAAAGACTTGTATCCAAAATATATAAAGAACTCTTAAAAGGAAGAAAATAACCGAATTAAAAACTGAGTAAAAGATTGTATTTTTTGAGACAGGCTGGAGTGCAGTGGTATAATCATCGCTCACTGTAGCCTTGGTATCCTGGGCTCAAGCAATCCTCTCATCTCAGCCTCCCAAGTAGCTAGGACTACAGGCACACACCACCACGCCCAGCTAATTTTTTTGATTTTTTTTGTAGAGATAAGGTCTTGCGATGCTGCCCAGCCTGGTCTTGAACTCCTGAACTCAAGCAATTCTCCTGCCTTGGCCTCTCAAAATGCTGGGATTATAGACATGAGCTGCCACACCAACCCAAAAGATTTGAAGACACTTAACTAAAGAATACATACAAAATGGAAAATAAGCACATATGGTCAGCATCCTTAAGGAAAAGCAAATTAAAATCATGATGTGATACAAATGTCTATATATTTGAATGACTAAAATTTTAAAATATTGAGAATACCAGTGCTTGCTTTCAAGGATACACAGCAAATGGAACTCTTTGCTGCTTGGAATGCAAAATTGTACAACCATTCTGGAAAACAATTTGACAATTTCTCATATAAGTAAATACATACTTACCATACGATCCAGCAATCCCACTCCTGAGTATTTACCCTAGAGAAATAAAAAATTAGGTTCACACAAAAATATGCACATGAATGTCTGTAAAATTTCTACTCATAATTGTCAAAACCTAGAACAACCTGCTTGTCTTTCAGCAGCTGAATGGATAAATTGTGGTTCATTCATACAATGGAATACTACCGAGCAATGAAAAACAACAAACTATAAATACATGCAACAACTTGCATGAATCTCATAGGCAATTTTACTGAGTAAAAGAGGCCAGTCTCAAGGTTGTATACTATAGGATTCTATATTTTAACAGTATATTAATATTGTACAACATTATCAAAAAGACAAAAATAATGGAGAACACATCAGTGGTTTTCAGGGATTAGGAACGGGATGAGCACGTGATTATAAAGGTACATAGCACAAGGGAGTTTTGGGAGTGATCAAAATGTTCTGTGTGCCCATTCTGTTGGTCATTACATATAAACCTTTACATGTGTTTAAGTCATAAAGCTGTATGTAGAGAATAATTTTATCGCATGATAATTTAAAAAATAAAAATGAAAAACAAAAGGACTATGCTGGATAAAAAAGAATTTTGCTGGTTAAATGTGGTTCAGTGCTATGTCTTTCCCCAAAGTAGATGCTCAACTAACTTTTGCTAAACAAAAACCCTGAAAACTGGCTGTAATGTCTGCTTCAATATCCATCTCATTTACATCCCTAAGATTCAAATATTTAAATAACTTTTTGTACTGTCATTAATGCTTTCTGTCATGGTATAGATCACTGAAAGATGTCTAGCTTACAAACATTTATTAAAAACCTCAAGTGAAAGTCAGAAATCCAGATATATCAACCAATTATTCTAAACTTTTAAAAAACTATCATTAATAATAGTAACTTTTACTTTACATATTATATGTTTATCCTCATTTTAAAAAAGGCAAGATCGATCTGTACTGAAGTCATTACTCAGACACAGTATCCCAAACAAGCATTTAATAAGTGTTCACACAATCTTTATTAAATATGGAATGAAACTGCACACCTATGCCATTAATTTGTCTCAGATATTTACTCTTTCTAAGATTTGCCTTTTTGCTTGAATTAGCAAAACAGACTTAAAAATTGTAATTATTCTGGTTCTAACTGCGATGTATACTTACATCACTAACACAAAATTTCTGTGCTGCTATACACTTCAAAATTTTCTGTGCTAAATAAACACTGGGTATTTGTTTGCCTGTAGCTTCTGTGCTACCAAACTCAGTAGGATCCTGCCATGTCACTTCCTATACTGACCTGTGACAACAGGTCTAAGACTCATTAATTCTGATCAATTAGCTAAGCTATATCATATGTATGTGAATGAATACAAATAACTTCATCTATACAAAAAAAAAAAAAACACTTTAACTTTATACTTGCTTTGCTCTAAACTGTGTACGAGTATTCCTATGATGGCAAATGATCAATCATGTAGCTGAGGTTTTCAAAACTACCTAGCCTAAGAATTAAACACATTTTTAAATTGCAAAGATGTTATTTGCATATATTTACAGTATGAAGTATAATTTTCATACTTCTTTTACATTTCTATTTGCTACAGAATTATTTTAGAGCCCTCTACATTACATTAATCATTTTGAAAATATTCTTTCTGAATATTCACTTAACTTATGACCATCTCCAATTTACCTATATATAGGTCAAGTCTCAATGAAAAATTTGAACTTTGCAGTTTCAGTTAAGTTAAACTATGAAGTATGTTATAATGATGCTAAAACACATTCATTTTTTACATTCTGTAATATATGCTTTGATGTCACATTACACTATCACTTGTAAACAAACCAAACTGAAATGCATTTTAGCAACCAAAAATATAGTAAAAAATTACCTATAGAAATAATTATACTATATAACTGAAAGATGGCAAAAACACTCAATCTGAAATATTCAATGCAGTAATTTTATTATATTGAGTCAAAACTAGAATCATAAGCCATAAGTTTAGTTAACCATTTTTTTAAATTTTTTATTATAATTTAAGTTTTAGGGTACATGTGCACAACGTGCAGGTGGGACTGTAAACTAGTTCAACCATTGTGGAAGACAGTGTGGTGATTCCTCAAGGATCTAGAACTAGAAATACCATTTGACTCAAGTTAACAATTTTTAAAATAAAAAACTAAGATATCAAGTTGCAGCTTTCTATATTTTAGTTCTGTTAATATACAACACACTGATTAATAAGGATACTATTATGAATAAGTAGATAATAAAGTCAGTTTGCAAAAAAAAAAGTTTGTTCAGAAACATATTGGTTCAAACTTTCAAATGTTCATGAGCATCTCATCCATTGGCTTTAATTGCTTTCTTTCCACAGCACCTAACATTTACTGTTCAGTTCCTTCACACATCCTACTCTGGAGCATATTACTATGGGCACTGAAGTAGATCAAATCATAGAGAAGCATAGTCTCCTACAAAATTACAGTAAAGGTAAACTACCCTTTAGATAATTTTCACAACTTAGCACAGTTAATCATAATTAGATCGTGTGAGCCCATGATTAAGGCTCCTTGAAATACCCACTTAACCTATTATAAAGTGATGAAAAGTGAATGACTTTGTCACCTGATTGAATTTACTTAGAGAAACATTTTTTCAACCCAAAATAAAAAAAAAAACATTTTTAACCCAAAATAAAACCACTGCAAAACAATCCTAACATGTAAAACATTTAAAATATAGTAAAAAACAATCCAGTGTTAATTAGAGATTAATATCCCTCTAAAATATTACCAGAATTGGGAAAAAGGTTTTTTTCTAAACATGCATGAAGCATAGAGACTGGGTTATACATGCCAATTATAATACAGCTGCATGATTATTGAGTGCACTTAGAAATAGCATTTCTAGAATTATTAAAACCAAGTTTTTATTATACAGATGTTGAAAGTTAGCTCCACTCCCCAAACTCCAGTATTTATAATACAGATTTTTTAGTAAACTCTTTTGAAAAATATTACCTGTTTCTGTAGCCATCTTTCACGCCTTCGTTGTTTCCTTCTTAGATTCTTCAACTTGCTCCTTTCTCTCTTATTGAGCCTCTGATTAATGCTGCCCAATGAAAAACTGGCTGAGTGCAGGAAGTCCAGAGGGGAGAGGTGCTCTTCCTGGTCTGAGGCCTCCAGCATGCTCCTGCCAGCTGAGGGCAGGTCCATCAGGAAAGTCAGATTGTTAGTATTAGTATGGTCAGAGTACACTGAAGAAGCTTCTAGACCACATTGAAATTCTCCTCCTCTTTGTGTCTCGGTCTCATGGGGGGCCACTGAAAATCTTTGCAGCAGCATACTAGGATCAAAACTGGATGGATTCTGAAAGGAACAGCTATTTTTACTAGATTGTAAAGGCAAGCCTGAAAGGTCAATAGGCTGCGTTTCATTTAGTCTGGAATAGGCAGTAGTCTTACTATGTATTTCATATAAAGTGGGTAATAAAGTCAGTTTCTCACTGATGTTCAGATCCAGACTATGTGATTTTCTATGAAAAGCTCTTCTAGTGCATCTGCCAGTCACAAGCTGGGGAACAAAAAGCTGGTATTTTGGTTCTGATGCTTTGGAGAGCAGTTTTTCATTCTTCATCTCAAAATATGTTGATCGCACCTCCAGGCAGAGTGCTTCTGTTAATCTTCCAGGGTCATTATTATTTCGGGCCATGTTTAAAAGCCTGTGATTTCTGTTTTTAGAGCCACCACCTGTCAGCAGAGCTTCCTTGTCACAACCTGACTGAACTCTAGGATGTGACAAGTATTTCAGTGATGGTCTCATTAGTCCGCCTGCCTGTGCTGGCTGATAATCGGTCCGGCTCTTGGAGAGATGTACAGCTGCAAGCTGGCCACAGGAACATTTTGGAGTGCTGACAAAATTAAAGCCCCCTAAACGGGCCCCACAGAAAGGGCAATTCAGTTTTCCAACTGTCCACTGGGCCTACAGGTAACAAAGAAAAATAAAGACAGTGCTTTCATTATAAAGAAACCGAAGAGAATTTTTTTTTTCTTTACAGCCAGCCACATGAAAGTTTTCTATGCCACAGAAAGGCTAGCTTTCTGTTTTCTGATTAGTAGACTGAACAGCAAATAAAACAAGCCTTCCAATAAATAAAGATAAGCAGCGCCAAAGTTTTAGAATAACACATTGCAAATCATGCCCAAGCAAACAATATTCCTAAGAATTCTAAATGAGTCTCTTGAACAATAGGTTAAATATGGATACAGTGTGAACTAAAGAAAAATATGCTATGGAACCAGGAAGCGAATCAGTGGACAGAGCTTAATTTGCAAGTAAAATCTCACAGAAAAGTGTCTGTTTTGATACACTTCTTGCATACCAAGCACTGTGGGAGGGAACGTTACCCAACCAAGAGAATAAAGCTCTTCCTGGCTTTTTACATACAACCAAAAGATATTGATTGCATACATCAGACAGTGCATTTTCTATGCTTAGATTGGAAATCAATAATGAACTGTCTTAAAATTATCTTTTCAACTGAGATAGAGAAATATCTGCAGTGTCCTAATATATTTTAAGTTCAGGACACTTATAAACAGTGCACTGGCATTCTCCTAGAAAATTGTTACAGTGTGAGAAGGGATATCAAATGTTATTTTTTAACAAAAAATTAAGCTGCTCAGTGGAGAAATGTAATTATATATTTCCAAAGTCCTACTACTTATAATTTTCTAAGACAGGAGTTTTGAATTGTAAAAAATAACTATACATACAAGGTCAGTTCTCGCTCTTATAATGTTTCATTAAGGATCCTTTAAAGTGTAGAATTTTCAATTTGATTATATCAGTGAAGGTCATTAATTATCCTATTTATTTTGTATGTTTGTGCATTTATGTGTATATATATAGATATGAATAACACATACAGAATATTCCATTTATTGAACAGGACCTATTCTTGGTGCTGGGAAATACAAATGAATAAAAATATAAAGTCCCTGACTTCATGGTGCTTATATTCTAGGATGGGAGCTAGGCAATTAACAAGTTAAATAAGCTATATGTGTATGTAGGTAAATATGTATATGTGCAGGTATAATATATCTATTTATGTCATACATATGCTTCTGTATAAGTAACATATATTACATGTGTGTATATGTGTGTGTAAAATACAGATAGGTATATAAAGCAGAGAAAGGAGAAAAGAAGTGTGAAGAGGGGTAATGGGAGTGAGGAACAGTAAGAGGTTGGCCAAGCAATGCATCTAAGAAAAACAGCTCTAAAAGGAGGACAAAAACATTCTGAAGGTTGTATATTCTTAATTTTACTCAGAAACTAAGAACTTACTTTTTGGATCAGGCAGTTTATCCATTCTGGGAGGGCTTCTATATTCATGTGCCACACATGGCAAATATTTTGAGCATCAACTGAATCATCTGTATCCTGTTAAATAAAAATAAATGATATTACTAATTACCAGTTCAGAATTTATTTCACAGGTTTCATATTTAAGTAAAACTCAAAAATACAGTCTATTTTAGTTATAAAGCAAATATACACTGCCTTCCCTTCCTAACTCCCATAATAAAAAAACAAGCCCACAAAAAAATATCTTTTTAAAATTTCTTTAGAGAATAACTACCCGTGATTTAAGACAAAGCCCTTCCATCTCACTGAGGTCATCAAATGAAATTTACAATTTAGCAGTCAGTTACTGAATGAACACATCTAGTGCCTTTTTCTGCATGTGAGACAAAATAGTATCTTTCATGGCAACTTTCTTCAGCCCCAAATCTCTATTCTATCTGAATTCTACTAACAACAGAATAAAGTTGCCACATTCTCTATCAAGATGCTAGATGAATGTGCAGAAAGATGGGGGAGTAGAATGATGGGATTCAGGACACACTACCCCAAAATAGGCCTCCTTGGCATACTGAAAAACAGCAGAGGCAGGAAGGTCTTACTAACCTTTCCCCTGCCCTTTTCCCCTGAAGCAGGTCAATAACCTAGGAGGTATTTTCTGACCTCGCATAAAGTATGTCGTAAGACTCTTATGTGAGAGATGCTAAAACTGTCCTTATAAACTTTATAAATTAACCAAGGAAGAACAAGGGGACGAACAAAAATAAGCCAAGCTTGCAGCACATTGAGCATCAACCCCCAGGTCTTCTTGCTCTCTGACCTGCTTCCTCATGGCTATTTGGTGCCTATTGCCCCAAATCCCACAGATCCTAGATTACAGTTTCCCTTAACTGCTCTATAGGTAACAACTTCAACATTATGAAACTCAAAGTTTCCCTTTCAGATACTCCTCTAGGTCCTGGATACCAATGAAACTATTAACACCAGCTGGACTGAAAAATCCCATTGATGCCAGCTGCTCTGAATGAAGGATACCACCAGAGGTTGACTCACCAAAGAATGTAGTTTCCACATCCTGATGATTTCATCCCTCATTCCCCAACCAATCAGCCACCCCAATTTTCCAGTTCCTCACTCTCCATGGTCTCCTTAAAAATCCCAGCCCAGAACTCCTCAGGGAGATGAAGGATTTGAGGGTCTCTTCCCATCTCCTCACTGGACACCTTGCAATCATGACATTCTTTCCCTGCTGCAAATCCTGCTACTCAGTGTATTCGTCTGTTACTACACAGTGGGCATATGAAACTGTTAGTCGTATAACAGCGCCATCCCCTACACCAGGATAAAGGTATCTTCAAGACTTCATTTGAAATTGGCCCTCTAAGTAAGTTTACCAATTCATCTAATTAACTGGGTGGGAAGAGGTGTACTTCAGTGCAAGTCTGTATATGGATAAGCATATTACCTTTTGAGAGGTAAATTCTTCAATTTTAGCAAAAGAGAAACTTAAAAGTCACATTCTATCTCCACTGTTCAGCAGCAAGCAAACTGCATGAAAACAAACACCCGAGAATGATTTTTTCATAAACCCACAACATAATACAAATATAAACTGATGTTATCAGATTTTCCCCCTCAAAAGAGAAATTCCGGCATCTTCGATCATTGATAATCCTAGGGTTCCAAACTTTAATTATTCTAAGAAATCTGTGGATGCCAATTTCTACAGAGAGTTTGAGAGAGAATATCAACACTCTGGTAAGTTAAAGGTTCTCTTTTGACTAGCACTGAAGAAAAAAGCCTGCATCAAGATCATGAACTCTGTGAAGAGCCACCTTAGAGGAGTATTTCAAAAAATATGGTCCTTAGATCACTAGCATTAGACGTGAGTTGGGTTACTTACTAAAAATTTATACTTGTGGGCTACACCTAAGAGTGTCTATAAATAAATTCCTACTTATGATTTTCATATACACTAAAGTTAAGAACCCAGAGACATCATTTTTTAGTGTTCGATTTTGCGTGCTTCTGTCATCTGCCTTTTCTAAGTTCTAATAGCGATTTATTTACAATAACAGTTCAGTCATGACTAGCTTTTCTCTCCAACTCATATATAAAATTTTTAAAGAACATTGGGAAACATATTGGAAGTGACTCAATAAAACTAAACAGTATAGCTTTATTTATTTTGCCCCAGAAACAAAATAAAGGTATGGATAAGTTTTTGAAAAAGTAGAATTAATTTTGCGAAACATCCATATTCATACACACTAGCTCCTTTCATTAGGAGCTGACAGTTATGAAGATTAGTATAACTCTAATGAATTCTTTAAAACAATCTTATAGAGAATACAAACTGAAATTGGCAAACGAAGTAACCTTTTCATTATCAGATCCAGAATTTTGCTCTGACTTTTCAAGATTATGTCTACATACAGAGGAAGGAAAGAAGGGTGGGAGCGACAGAGGGAGGGAGGAAATTTCTACACTGGTAGAAAGAACAACAGATTATCAATGTCAAAATAGTTAATGGCACTCAACCTATCAATATTTATTCAGTGATTACTAAATACAGTGTTGACCACACAAAGCAAGTAGAGACATACTTATTAATATGCCAGGGATTGTGTTGCATAAAGGTACTTCTATTATTTGTATTAATGTTTTAATATTTCACTGTTCTATGTCTTATTTTATTATGTACATTTCATTATTTCATTTAATCATATAAATTTATCATTTTTTAATCACACAGTATTGATCATAACACTAAAAAACCACTACCCACTATAAATTTCGGAAATGCTCTATGAATATTCCTATGAGAATAAACACTGGAGTCACAGTTGTAGGTGGAAGTTTTTTTTTTTTTTTTTGAGATAGAGTCTCACTCTGTTGCCCAATGTACTTATTCTTCTTATTTTCACTAAATAACAAATATTTATATTGTGCTCACTATGCACAGGCACTGTCTTAAGAGTTTTTACTGTCTTACAGAGAACAACACTGAAATAAGAGATCCCAAGCTTCCACATTGCCTCTTATGCCATATAAAATACTATAGCTTTTAGGGCAATAAACTTTCTTGTATCTCCAGCCTGTGTATGTTTTAAGGCATGATACTGCTATTCTTCTCTAAGCTTATAAAACTAAAACTGAAGCATATCTTATTTTTAAATTAACTAAAATAAATTTATGTAGGGAGAGGTATGTTTAGAAAAAATTCCACAGCTGATTCTGCTTTTGTACCCCTCAACCCACCCTCCTTCATTTGAGAAAAAATAATATAAAACAGCATATATTTGTTTCTTTTAAATAGCTAAAATTTAAAGTATACTTTCATCTCCTCACAACCAAAAAAAGAGAAATAGCAATTGATACAGGTAGGAAAGCATAAAACGCTGGGTTGAATTTATAGCATTGTTTCATTTTCTGAAAACTTTACATATGGACCAGGGTAAACACAGACACCTCAATTATGAATGAAACTGCCAACTACTTTTACCTGTATTTACCAACACAGTCTAAGAAAACATGTATTTTTTATTTGTAATATTTATTTCCAATATAATTCTACAAGTAAAGAGGATGTACCATTGCTTCTAAGTTTTAAGTCAGTTAATTTTGTAAAAGCACACAAATATATAAATGATAAAACAATTTTTGATGGACATATTTTAAGATGAATGATGAAACTGGAGGCAACCCAATTTAAGGAATTCAAAGCCATCAAAGTATTAGCACAACAAGTTATCTCTTCAGGAAAAATTTGACTGAAAATTAGAACTGTTTCACTAGGATTTAAAAAAAATTACCAGACAGATTTTCTTTATGTCTCAAATTTCCCACACGAAGGAAGGAGGAAGGAAAAGGAGGAGAAAATAATAGCAATTTCACATAATAATGTCAGAAAAATGTTGACAAAATTATATTTGTAAATGAAATAATTTGTTCAAGCAGCAAAGGGAGCCAATGTATTGTTATTTTAATTTTTTCTTTAAGTGTTGGGAATATTCTCCGTTGCTATAACAGAAAAATATCACTTAATTTTAAAATTACAAATTTGATGCCTTATTTTTTATCACTATGTGATCTTTAATATTTTTAATTAAGTGTAACAAGTTACATGCAAAAAGTTGGTAATATTATATAAAATTTTGGAAGATGTTTAACCCTTGGCATTTCCAATGTAAGCAGTAACATTCCCTCAGCTAATTCTTTAAATGCGAACCAACTATATTACTTGACTACCACAGCTAACACTACAGGGAAAAGATTATGTAATGAGGCCGGGCGCGGTGGCTCACGTCTGTAATCCCAGCACTTTGGGAGGCCGAGGTGGGCGGATCACGAGGTCAGGAGATCGAGACCATCCTGGCTAACACAAGTGAAATCCCGTCTCTACTAAAAATACAAAAAAAATTAGTCGGGCGTGGTGGTGGGCGCCTGTGGTTCCAGCTACTCAGGGAGGCTGAGGCAGGAGAATGGCGTGAACCCCGGAGGTGGAGCTTGCAGTGAGCCGAGATTGTGCCACTGTACTCCAGCCTGGGCGACAGAGCGAGACTCCGTCTCAAAAAAAGATTATGTAATCAAAATGTTATTTAAATTAACATTATTAATTGTCTAAAGTGTCACAAATGTAAAGGAACCAAAATTCTATTGGACTGCCTAGTTTGTCTATTTGTACTTTGAGAAGGTACTTTAAGGGTTAAAAACTTTTTACAATCAAAAGGTCACAATGAATTGAAAAAAATGAAAACCTCACTCAAAAAGCAAACAGGCTCCCTCCCTCAATTCTTGGTACCTTTCTAATTCACTCTTCACACTATTACCAAACTAATCTCAAAATTCAAAAGTCATGTTACTTCCTCTCATTAACTTCCCAGCTCCTAGGATAAAGATCAAAATCTTTGACTTACAAGACCATACATGATTTGAACAGTACCCAACTTTCTACTCTCAGATCTTGCCAAACTTCCTCTTCATCTCTGAACTCCAATCATGGCAATCTCTTTTAGTAAACTGGGGATCCACCACAGGGCCTTTGAACATGCTGGTCCTGAATCTTGGAATGTTCT